AATTCCCAACTTAATCGACAGCAACCGCAATGCCACTAGAGTTCCACCATCTGCACACCACCGACCCAATGGTTATCAGCAAAAGCCTCTTACAAGGCAACGCTGTCCCGTTTCCCTCCCGGAGCTCAACATTCGAGCTCCAAGACAAATAGGTCAAGACTGCATTCGTATTGGCTTGTGTTGCGTGTCCGGAACTAGGATCAACGACCCTCACGGTGTAGTTGAGCTAACTGCGCTCGACTTCTCTGCCCACCACTGATTACACGCATTTGGAGGCGCTGATGGCGACAAAATCTGGTCAAGCTGGGGTCGACATCATTAGCAGCACCAAGGCTGACTCAGGGTTGCAGATTTCCTTAGTTTCGTTCAGCTTCGTCGTGGACTCCATCATGCGGTGTTCCCTTGCAGAATCTCATGATGAAGGCTCTGAGGTGCGGGCTGGTAGAAAATGGATTGATGCTAATTATGCGGACGATAGTCTTGCTGTTCAACAATGAGGAAGCGACCCAGTCAATCGTGAATAACCTATCTAGAATGATCCCATCATCTGGCATGCGTACAAATTGTTGCTGCAGAATCACCAGCTGGCTTGCCGAACAACCTCCTCGTGGTGCCAGCTGGGTGGTTCGGGCTTAACCCGTTCTAGCGAATGGTTCGGCGGCAGTGTTCCAGGACGTGGTGGGTTTTCGCCTGGCAAGCATTCTCTCTACAAAAAGCCACATATGTCTGTTTAACAACACTGTGACGTGGCGGATGTGGCTTACCACTAAATAAATTCACTGCCCTTTGCATCTCTCTGAACGGCATTGCAATTCGAGTGTGCTGGGCCCCTGGTCCTATGCGGTCCTAAAGGCGTATGAACCACTTGTTTGGTCACGGGCTCCCAACAGGTTGTGATACCCTCATATCACCCTGTTGCCTTGTAGGTTAGATCCTGGATAAAAGGCTCTGAGTGGGGCCCCCTAAGACAACCCTCTACTTCGGCCTGGACAACCGGGTAGTATCTCGCTCACTGACGAAGCATGGATGGAGCATCCCCTTCCCTCCCCCAATAAAAAAACATCAACGAAACTCGAAAACTGAAGTGAAGAATAGACAAAAAATTTGTTTGTTTTCTTTCTTCATTTAATCTAACCCAGTTTACCTATTCCGCCATGGTTTTGATGGCACAATATCTGCACACAGATTGTGATATATATATATATATATATATATATATATATATATATATATATATATATATATATATATATATATATATATATATGGTCACCTCTAGACCCTTGATAGCGAGGGACTCGAAGTGGCTGACCAATTCGCTTACCTTGGCAGCTCCATCAGCAACGATTGGCGTATAACTACTGAACCCAACTCATCTGATGCAAAAAGTAGAATTGCCTCCTAGAATTTGAGACATGTGGCGTGAGAAAGGCCGTCAGTAAAAGGCCACAGTGAGAGCCGCCCTCTCCATGGAAGTAAGACTTCTTAGCTCCTTAGGTCTGAGAAATTAAGGTGCCTCAAGCATTGGATCCTCGTTGCATGCGAAGCACTGCTGGTTGCATCAACGTGTCCGCAACAATAATGTGTATAGGCGAGTGTTAAGCAGTGGTAAACAGGCAACTTCCTCATAACAACAAATAACTTAGATAAGTTGCATTGACTTTGGCGTGTGCTACGTATGCTCGGTCACCGAGTACCGAGGATAGCCTAGCTTTTTCTGCCACATGTAAGATGGAGTAAGGCTAGAAGTGGACGAAAGCTAACTTTGTAACGAAAAAATGAAGTCAATGATGGGTAAACTAAGTGCCGCTGGAGTCCACGCGACCCACATTTTGCATGGCTCAACACTTTACGAGACAGGACTCGCAGTCGCTATCAGTGGTGAGTCCGCTGCCATTTCGTAGTCGGACTGCTTGGTTGAATTGTGTTTTATGCTGCTATCATCTGGACCAGGGCCGATAATGACGCGGGGAAGTGAAAGCCCAAAGGATGCTCTCACCGATGCCGCCTTCTCTTTGCACAATAGTCAGCTGTAAATCGCTGACCAAGCATAGGCGCTTTGACCCTGAATGCTTGCTTAGGGCATTAAGATGTTGCATTAGGTCCACTTAACACTTCGTTCCTCAGATCATTGCGGTTGTGCAGCAGCGAAGAATCAGTTTACATGACTGATGATGATGTGATGATGATGATGATGATGTACAGGTTTTGGCGAGCTGGACCGATAGTGCAGTCAGTTCCTCTCTACGAAACGTGCGGGCAACACAAGATCACTCTATTTACGGAGCGAATTCATCAATAATGAGCATCAGAGAAATCGCATCAGCTCAAATGACACAAAAGTAATTCGTCGCGGTCAATTGTATGGAATGAACCGCATGCTGCTGCGACGACAGCTAGGGTAGCTCTGGCATGGGCGTTCAGTGGATGCAACCAGAATACCGACGCATATACTAGAATATGTGCAAACCGATTCTATGCTACCAGAACATGAGCAAGGTTAGTGTTTCATGAAATAATGGCTTTAGGTGCTGGGAAACGATGACAGTGCCTAGACAGGTATACGATGAAGGACTGTTGTAGCAGGAAGGGAAACGCCGGTTGCGCAAGAGAAAGACACTGATGGAACCCAAAGCATCGATATTGTGCACCTGGTGATGTGGCACATGCTGTCGTGTGCGAATAAGATGAGCGCAGTAAGTCAATGACACGGCTACGAAAGGTCGACATTAGAGGCGGTGTAGAAATGAAATAGGTAAGTAACAGCGAGGTAATATACGGCTGCAAGTTCCATTTAGTAACCAATACCAATAATGCCACATCTGTGGTACTTGTGCTGCTTCGTCGCTGCTGTTGGACTGTAAACGAACATGTTTGTGTCCAAGTCTAGTCAAGAGACATTGTCACATACGCCATCAGCAGTAGGCCGGTACCCTGTACCGACGCTCCGCCGCGACTATCACCGGTCGTGCGTGGGCTTGGTGTGCCTCAGTTGCCCGCATCTGTGCGGATTCGAACTGGATAATAAGACGTGCAGGTAATCTTTTTCGGCCGCCGGCAATGTTTTACAAAGGTTGTGGTTGATGTACAAAACCTAGTCGCGCTTAACGCGAATGTCGGGTATCGTTATTTCGATAAATGGGTCTTGGAGGTAATTAATAGTATCTGTGATTGATAACGTGCACAGGCTTCGTGAGAATTCAAAGCTCAAAGAGTGACTGTAATTAGCGGGAAACGTTCTGAGGTTCAACGGCCTTTTTGTATATTGTGGTGTGCATGATTCCCCAAATTCCATCTGAATAATGTGCATAGTGAAGACCATCGCAATGAGGCTGGACCTTACCTTGGTGCGATGGTTTGTGTGCCTCAGCGATGCATTGAGCTATGCTGGTTGATGCTTTTACACCTTCAGAGTCACTCATACCAGATTGGTCAGTGGTTAGAGGCCAGACAAACTCAGTCTCTTGGTCGTCCAGGTTGGGGGTTGAAATGAGGGTGGCTCCTTATTCCTTAAAACGGACTCTTTGTAGACCAACGCCAAACTCGCTGACTTGCGGTAAGGTTTTTGAACCAAAGGTTTTGGTTGAGAACCCCATTCGTTCTGCTGTCTAGGCCTGGGCAACCTGACAGTGTCCTGCTCACGCAATACTATGAAATTCTCTTCAAACTGTTCCTTGATGCTCTGGCCACCGCAAAGGACAACCAACGGTGCCCTATCTGCTGCATCGAGCAGAGTGGATAGGGGTTTGGATGCTAATGCTCAAGCCTTTCCGTCTTCTTATTCCTCCTCTTACGCTTTTTCACTCTTACCGTCCCGTTCCAACTTCACTTTTATCCCCCCACCCCAGTTTTCAACCCCCCGATTCTTGGCCCTCCCCCAACATGCTTTGCTAGGTGTTTATCTTCCAAGTTCAACCCACATGCTCACGCGGAGTGTCACACGTTTGGCTGGATACACTTGCTGACATGGCAAGGAGCCGGCCTCAGTGTCGTTCCTGCTGTTTCTTTGTTCCTCCCCATCCGTTTTAGCCTCCCCTTCCATCGACGATTTCATTTCGTAGTGTAAAACATAATAATTTTTCTTTTTGCCTAGTAGCCGGCTGGTAACTAGCTTAACGGAACGATGCCCATCCGTTGCTGGTAGCTCAACTGGCATGCAACTGTTGTACTTATTTTTCTTTTCCTTTATGTATTGCGGCACAGTAGCTGAGGTGTTTCCAACCTCTAGCTGAGGTGTATAATGATGATGATGGTGCATAGTGAAGGAATGTGGACCGACTGAATAAACCGTTGTTCCCATCGACATGCCTCCCAGCCCCAATACTCCAGGTTTACAGAGAATATGGGATGTGTGGACGGTGCAGCGCAAATTACTATCTCTGCAAGTGGAGACGCCCTGTAGTGGTTCGCAGACACTGCAACGGGCAAATCCGGAAACGAATGCCGCCTGACGTTCTCCTCCGTCAAAGATATCCGACTGAATTCGTTATAACTTTCTCTTGACAGAATTAACCACAAGTAAAGATAACCGAATACGACTCTGGGGTAGATTTCGAAGCTCACCCGTTTGAATAACCCACATCGTGCCGCAAGACTATACAGCGCACTGATAATGTCAAGCCGGTTAGCGACGAAAGATTTGCAATAATTTGGTTGCTGAGACAGAATAGCAGAAGTACTAGTGTAACCGAGTTGGCAGGCCACCAACTGTGCAATATCTATGGGGAAAACAGGGTAGTTGACAAACCAAAGCGTTGAGCAACAGCTTCGCTGGAAAGTGATTAGTTTCATATTTGCGACAACAACAGTTGTGGTAAACGGTAAAATTATAATTAAACCATTTGAATCACAACGTATCGAGTAAATGATGGGTGCAAGACGGAAAAAATGCGAAACCTAACGGATGCAAGGTGGTGAAATGCAGGAAAAGGAACAACACACAGAATGATGAGCATGAAGTGACAGCAGTCCTGCGTACAAATGTATAAAATGCGACTGACCACAACTCTGGGGGCAGCTAGCTGCCAATACAACCGCAGTGATTGAGGTCTTCCAATACGGTGGGGCATAGGCCAACTCGGATATCTCCCTGGGAAAGACAGAGTTGGAATGCAAGAACAAATGTGACTGTGCATTATTGCATCTGGGTCAGGAAAAACGTTTTGACAATAGAAACGAGGTAAATATGTACAATACTGAGTACACTAGGTCTATGGAGTTGGGCATTTCGCGTACAACTGCGGTTATCAATCCCAGTCTCACGATATTTCGGAGGCACAATGAACGAAGAATGAGAAAAATAAACAACAAAGTGGTAGGGGGTAGCGAAACCAAGGAGAAATGAATATCATTACAGAAAGTCGAGGAAAAGTTGGAATGAAAAATTCTAGCTTACAGTGGGAGCGGCTGGTCAGACGAGTAGGTACAGCTGGCGTACATAAGATCGATTAACTGTTCAGTCTTGACAATATTTAGAGAATCCAGTCCTGAAAAAAGCAGATAGGATATTTAGAATGAAAGACAAGTGGTTTGAGGAATATTTACATTATCCAAACTGGGAACACGTGTCAATGTTATGGAGAAGAGTGGACTTTAGTTTGAAAAATAAATAACGAACTTCCGTTTTATGCAAAGTGCTCCAAAACAAGATCGGCCATGAACAACAAGTATCGGTGGCCTAAAAGTGTACCACGAGGAAACTGACATTGAAGCGTCGATGTACACTGAAATGGTGATCACTGTGGTTTGCTCGAACAGAAACCGATGTATTAAAACAATGGGTGAAAACCCCAGTAAGGAACCTAAATTTGCCCTTCAGATAATAGCATCTGGGTTACGTAGTGACCATGGTTCGAACTTTTCAGAAATCTCGAAGTCGATTGCTTCACAAGGATGGCAGTATAATTTGTTCGTTGGCAGACTTTTAGCAGTCCCTTCTAAAGGAAGCTAGTGAATAGCTTATCGAGTGTTTGTCCAAATGAGACCATAATATGGTGCAACAAGCGTCGGACAAAACAACCTGACTGTTAGTAGACCCCAACCTGCTGCCACTGAATGGGACACGCCTTAGGGCTACCTGAAACAAGATCACGATATTAGTAATCGTAGTAGCAGCCTGACAAGCTGTTTGACCTTGAACAGAGTGGGGTCAAGTTGCCTAGATAAAGTCGTAAACTATCACGGGATGAAAACCTGATAAATTATAAGCTACGTTGTTCCGCCACAGTGCACATCCGGTGGCATGTCGTCCGCTGGTGAAATACAAAGGCTGGTATCGGTAAGTTACGCTATGCACAGGCATTAATTCTCGTTTCTGGAAATTCCAGTTCCGGTTGGAAGTAAGTAGCATGCTTTTCTTTTCGGTAATCGAGGGAGCCGGAGTAGTTTCGACACTGTGGATGACAATGGGCGAATTTTGATGAAGGTAGGGCCGAGAAATCGGCCACAGGCTCCAAACGGGCGCGATTCTAAATTCAATACGCTGTCCTGTGAAGAGGCTATTAAGCGAAAGCCTCAGGATAGAGTCCCTACGCCAACTCCTTACTTTCGCTTGGGCAACCGAATGCCGTCAGCAAAAACCATGGATTACACTGCTACTTCGTCACACTCTCTCGCTCCTGTCTCCTTTGCCTCTTATCAAACTCCATCACAAGCCAACCCCTTCTATCATTAATCCCACTTAGTCCCGATTTCATCCCGATATCGGTATCGCTCCGATCCACTAAGTCCGATCTGAGGACTGACTCCAATGCTCGTTTCGGCTATCAACGTTTAATGTCCGGATACTTTTGCGGATCAAATAACAGGCCGGTCCAGCACGTACTCTGAATTATCTCGCTAGCTGATGCTTTACTGAAACCCGGTTGCAAGGCCCAAGCACCGCGCTCAAGTTGACATTGCCTATCAACCAGGAAGCCACATATCACTAAGGTTTGTACGGTGACACAGGAGCAGCTGCAATTGGTTAAGCTGAGGCTGGCTTGGCGTAAGGAAGCAAGTCCGAATCAGCACTCCTGGACTGGTTTCCGGTTAACAGCCGAGTATGTGCAGTTCGGCTTCAAGGTTCACGCAGGGTTAACAGGCATCGGGATGAAAGACGCAACCTGTCTGTGGTCTCCGTCTGTGCGCCAACCGATGGCAGCTGTGAATAGATCAAGGAGGATTATTATCACCAATTTCATCAGCTATTACGCAAGGCCGCCAGATCGGAAGTTGTGTTCCTCGCAGGAAACTTTAACACACGTGTTCATCAGGTAGAGGCCACCTGGGTGGTCATCGCGCCCTGAACGAGAGTGGTTCAGCTAACGGAATTAGGTTTCTCACTTTATGTGGAGACAACGATCTATTTCAAACAAGCACATGGTTTGGGCACTCCAAGAGGCAATCTGCCACCTGCATACCTTCTCTACCAACGCAAGTATCGTACCAACTAGACTTCATCGCAGCTTCAGGTGGCGGCCCAGAATGCAAGGCTGTGGATCAATTTGGATTTTATCTAGACTTAGATCATGCAATGGTCCGATCTAAAAGAAACAACTAAAAAAGTGAACTATAGAGTATTAACGGATATAAAAATAATGTTTTTTGCTTCCCTTAATTAATGGTTATTCCTCATGTTATAGATTTGACTATATTTGATCCCCAACTCCATGGTATCGAATGGATCGGTGTCTTCTATATACATATATATATATATATATATATATATATATATATATATATATATATAATTCTAGTTTAACAACTCGTACTGAAACAAACAAAGCAGTTTTGGTAATTAAGTTACGAAAGCAATTCGGTATGAACGAAGGTTAGTAGAGAAAAGCTGGAGAAAAATCAGACAAATAGTTGCCCACAGGAGAATGTACACATTGACCAGAAGCACTGGCAATACTTAGAAGTGGGGGGGGGAGGCATCGCTGGTGGTCAAAAGGTGGTCACTTACCGGAATCACGGGCCAGGCAGGCTGCATGCCATATCAATTCACACACAATATCCAAGGATTCCAATGGACTGAGTAACTGCCAAGATGGCTCCAAGCCCAACAATAAAAGTTGGTGTGCAAGTTTTTCTGGCATACATGCATCCGTAACTAGTCGGGCCAAGGAGCTGAGATGAAGAAAGAGAGTAAGTGACACGTAATATGTCTCGGGTGCAAAGAAGCCATACCTAGCATTTATATTCAAATTTGACATGGGAGTTTTCGATTTATGACCAGGATAATCGCGAATGTGACAAAAATGAGAGCTAATTATAACAACTGAGAGTCGTTGCTAATTATAGCAACAACTGGGATATGTCCTCACCTATGATCCTGATCGGGTGTCCAAATAAACCGAAGTGGGTAACAGGAAAACAATTCATATACGTTGGAGTCTGGATGGTGCAGTGGACTGATGGAATCCAACATGAACGCTCGGCGAATCAGTGAACTTGGTTTCAGCGCCTCAAAGCAAGCAAGCACGGCAGAATTGACGTTGAGCTCTGTACCCTCTCCAACTGTCATAGACTGCACGGCAGCGTTAATGATAGCGGGAAAGATAGTTTTAGACCACCGCATGAATGAAAGACGAATCTGCCGCAGCGCCAGCTGATGAGCTTTCATTGCATCGGTATGGTTGTCTGGAGCATGCAAAAAATTAGGTACCAGGAAACCCAGAAGATTTCACCGTATAATACATGTGGAGAAAAGCAAAATGCGGAAACAAACGAAACAGCCAAGTTCGAGAATGGAATCTCAAAAACCTCAGGTGGATCCTTTCCAACAGTCCAGGTCCAAACTGTTGATACGGTTCTTTGATTGTAGTATCGCTGATCAATGCAGCAACAGTCAACACGGGTGGATCTCATGCCCTGCCAGAGAATCTGTTTGCCTATGAAGTGTCACAGAACAAGACCAACTTGTGCTAAGAAGTACGCTGCCAGTAGAGTGTGGACAACATGCAAGTCGCGGAAATGAGTGCCAAAGGTAAGTACGGATTTCCGTAAACTAGAACGTGGAGTACTGGAGAATGGTTGTCTAACCGTTTGGGTCAATTTGATGAAACCCAAGGTATTGATGTTACCGATCCTTCTCTACGGTAGAGAAAGACGCTGTGAAAGAACAACCGTCGACTCGGACTACGCTACAAAAACTGTTTACAGAGGATCTTACGCATCCGTTGGTGAAGCAATGACTGATACCCAAACGATCCGCAGGAGTGATATGCCTGAAAGGAACGGACGCAACGATGAAACTCCAAACATGGCCTAACTATGCGCAAGTGAATATAACCAGAAGACAGAAACACCTACTGACTGGTCAAGTATGGGAAAAGGAGTGAGACCAAATAGAAGCTTTACTGCCAGGGACATGGGCAATGTGGATTTGCCACAAACGAGTTGATCCAAAAAATGGCAGTGAATCGTAAACGAGGTGAGCAAATGAAGAACCTTGTCGCCCGGATGCGTGAAAATGAACAGAAACGTCGAATATGCAAGTGACAAATGCACACGCACACAAGCTAGCCGGAGCCATTTGCATAGTAATGTGACGTAGGTGATTGTGTGTAACTAAAGGCCTGGTAAGTGGCGATGGGAAGCTTATGATGAAGAGACGATTAAGATGAGTAGCTGCGTTTGAGTAGCTAAAATATATCATGCTTTATATCACTTGCTAACCACACAGTCAATGCCTCTGTGACAAACCACATCGCCACTGTAGATAAGCCACACAGGTATAGCGAGCGTAGGTAGTCGCGTGCCCTGTGTACGTCTAACATGCCGGTTTTTCCCAGTGTTGCGTCAAGGAAGTGAAAACTGGAGGAGAGTGAGCTGTCTCTACCTCAATCCTGGCTCGATAGCATTCCTTTGGGTTTAAGCTAGATACGGTGCGTGTGGATGAAGCTGTGTGTGGGGCAGATCCAGTAATCATCAGTCCTACAGGGGGCTGTGCTCTGTAACAGATCATAGACAGGGTAACAGGTTAATATGGAAGGGGAAGCCGTTGACTGCTATCGTAGTGACAAGTACCAGATACCCATAAGCTTGGTACTTCTGAGGAGAGCAATGAGTGCATTTCAAACCAGGCAAGGTACAGGGATTGATCTGAAGATAGGACCGTGGGGTAAAGATTAGACTATGTGCGTTCGAAAAGTATAAAAATAGGAGAAGCGATGCTACACGTACTTCCAAGGGCTTTTCACCACACCTGCACTATGGGAGTCAGGAAGTTGTTTTTAATAACAGAATGGACCAAACCAACAGAAACAAAAGAGCTTCTGACTGTAGGATATAGTAACTCAAAGAAAGACTGGGTGAACTTCCACCTCTTCAAAATCTGCGTACAACCGAATTACACAGGCCCGTTGACAGAAGTGGGTTTACACAAAGAAAGCAAAATGCAAATAACTCCAGATCAAATGAAAAAATAGGCACACAATGACGAAGTTTATCGGAACTAACTTGTGCGTCTCACGGTCGGAGCAATGTTCAAATGCGGTCTACTTGCTGAAAGCATCTGTAGTCCAGCAATCAGGGAAACGATAGCATTAAGGTAAAACTGAAAGTTAACGATGTGGCCTTTGGAACCGACTGAATCTTTTCCGTTGACTAACGAGGCGACGATTGCACCTGCAGCTGCAGATACCGTCGTGTTTCCTCTGTGCACTCGATCTTGTAGCACCGCACCCGCCAATTCTGCGCATGGCAGATAAGTTTGGATGCCAATCTGTTGGCTTAGAGCAGATCCTCCAGAAGCCACCTCTGAGGTACTGGAGCGCCAGTTGCGTGCCAGCTCACGGAGGATGGAAAACACCGGGGATAGTCCATTTAGAACATCTTCGGTCAACTGTTCCTCGGGTATCGGAGAACGATCGCGCGGTGCATAGCATGAGGTAGCCAACAGGAGCATTCGTTCATGAATGGCATTGCCCACAAGCTATTTGAATAAATTAGATCGTGTTCCAAGCGTCACATAAAATCGAGAACGATTGCAAAACACAAGAGAGTGCAGAAGCGGAGTAGAATGAAAGCTATGATGAGATGCAAACAATACGAAGGAGATAGACAAGTATCTGGTGCGTCATGGGATTGTCACACTGTAGTACGAATCAGAAATCGGAGAGAACCGCAGATACCAAAGAGACGAGCGTTTTGTAGGATATCGTTAAAACGTGCTCATGTATGTCAATACCACCATATGGGGTGGTTCAATCGAGCGCAAAAAAGATTAACACTTCGCTTAAGACACGGACAACTTTATGTAGTTTTTGCTAGCACATGCAGTGTCCGTTCCTCATAAATGCATAAAACGATCTGCCCCGATCCAGAGTGCATTCGATTGCGCAACAAATGTACCTCTTCATTGTTGGGTCTTGGAGTACCTGTTGTAAAACTCCGTGCTATTTAAAGCACCACAAACGAATGGAAGAAGACCTAGTTCACAAAGCAAGCCATAGTGTTAAGGGTCCGCGAGAGAGTCTCAATAGGAAATGCAAAACACTGATAAATTTAGGGTGGTGTAAGGTTATAGGTGTGAGGTAGAAGCGTATACGCGCAATGGGTTGGAGTTGGGAATTTCTATCTACGTGACGAGTGTAAAGAAATGTGAGATCCGCCATGTGGAGCAGAATTGCCAGCGTAAATTACGTAACACTATACACACTATACTATACGTAACGCTATACCATGCCTGCGCTGCAAAACGTAGATAAGAGGAAAAGGAAAGTAACGATACAGAAGTCACGATCGAAGAGGAAGCATGGTCTAGCGAAGAGTACTCCCCAAAGAAAATAAGTAACAGCTGCGGGTGTGAATGAAAATGCAGCATCCTAACAGCCTTCCATAGGAAGGATTACGGCAACGCATGAATACGCCTCGAATGTCACTTGAAAAATCCTTGCTATCTGCAAGTATGAATGGCAAGGCTGACAAAAATCCAATCGGGACTGTAACTCAGATCAAGTTTACAACATGCGGCCAAGAGTTGACAAGCGCATAGCCGAAAGGACAAGGCGTATGCTCTGCAACCCGGAGGTCGCGGGTTCAAGCGTGTGTAGGGGGCTGGGTGACCCTCCCACTATCTGCAACCCACGCGCAACCGGTGGTTTTGGCAGCGAAGCATCGGCATGCCGTACTTCTGATGCCTTTTTTTTTACCAAGAGTGCTGATGTACCATGCGTCTATTTAAAGCAGCAGTAATGCATTAGGAGAGTGAACGTTACATTCGAATTCGAAATTGTGGCGCATCGTTGATTCACTTTGTCGGTGACTACTGGGAGTAAACAGAAACTGGGTACGTACGCGGACCCATTGAGCGGGGTAACGCTGATGCAGAAAAGGTAACAGTTGATATGGAGATCCGGATGAACGAAAGGCAACGGCGGCTGCTCCAGCAGCAACGGCAGCCATAGCTGTGGAAATCAGCTGCTGCTGTCCAGCTTGAGGGGTTGTTGAATACTCATCATCCGTAGATTGGTCATTTGCCATGGTGCGTACAGAGTCCACAATACGGAGGACTGCCTGACTAAAATGCTGTGCGGATTGAGGCTTGGACTCAAGTGCATCCGGAGGAGTCGGCGGACGAAGTTCAGAAGCAAGACATAGGTTAACCAAAGTGTACAGATTTGTAGGTGACGCCTTCACCATGTGATTGACACACTCAAAGAATGCACCCTGCAGAGAAAAACATGAGAGAACATCGTAAAAGTATTGGCAGAAAAATTAGTTCCAGCAGGGGAAGTCGTTCAACAAGTAACATGACTAACGGGTGATACGTTACTAGGAGCGATGAACGAGAAAGTAAGTAGGTTTCGCGAACAAGAGTATGATAAACGTAGGACTAAGTAGTTTCCATCTTGAGTCATTTTGACATAAGTCCCCTTATTCTGAATTTCATCGCCATGTCAGTGTTGCCTAAATAACTTTCTGAGTTACCACGTGGAATCTGGTAACGGCAATGTGAATTGGCACCAAATGGTTGTCATTTCTGGGTTCGAGAAAAATGCAGTCGACTTGTCCAATTAGTAGAGACCGACTCTGCAAATGTATCACTCGACAATATCATCATCGATTCTGTTCAGTTAGATCGTCACAGCCAAACCTGCTGATTTACTCGAGACGCCCACTCAGTTAACGCCAGCAGCCGATGACATCATTATGTTGTAAGATAATATCTATCAGTTTCTGCAGTCACATTCGGCATTAGAAAGATGCAGGAGTCATCTGCAAAACTTATTAGGTAACAGACAAGAATTCAGTTGTAGTGGCTCCGATAAGTATTTGTCAAAAGCATCAAAGGCGCTGCTTGACATTATGCAACTGGTAGCATTGTTGCTCAGACTAGACCACTGTTACTCATGGAAAGTAAAACCGGTTGTTAATAAAGACCCCCGATTGAGACCTTGTTTTTAGCCGTTAACAGATCGTTCAACAGTAATTCCAGATAAGTCTATTCCAATAAATTATAACAAAATCATTACTGAATACTGTATTAGAGAGCAAGTAGAAATGAATTCTGTACAACTCTTTGGAAATATGGTGAAAAACGTTATAAAAGTTGTCAACCGTGAATATCGTTGTCGTTCTCATGTAACATTTAAAATATCTGACTTACGATATGTCAGGACTCACAAATGTGATATGTCATCGTAAGTGTACAATCGTTCTCTGAATCGAATAGTGGTAAAATATAGATCTGAAACGCTTTGAACTGCTGCACAGATGTTGCCTCCAACATATGTTCAGGCAAACTATCCCAAATGGTTACCACTCTCCGTTCGAAGCACAGTGGGTGGGAAACACATTTCACATCCGGCACGACAAGTTTGTATCTGTGTCCGCGTGTGCTGCATGACCCTCGTAAGTGCAGCATTGGCCTTAGCATTGGGAAGTCACCGAGATGTAGAATACGGTAGGTCATAATGAGGTCGACTCGCATCCAACGGTAGGACAAGGTATAGAGTCCTAATTTCTCGCACCGGTCTTCATACCCCAAGCCACGTAAACTCGGGATGAGCCTGGTAGCAACGTGTTGGACCCGCTCGATCTTTTGTGTCGCGCCTCGGGTAATCGGAGAGTAGGCGGGCCAACCGTACTCTACCATTGGTCTAATGATGAAAGAGAAGAGGCGAGTGGCAACCTCTTCAGACCATGTGTCGAAGCTACGTATGAGCGCCCAAAGCATGCGCAGTCCGTTACGATATAGCCTGTTCGTGTTGTCCACGGACTTCAAATCGTAGCGCGAGAGTACACCTAGGTCCTTCACGGAGGGTGTGGGATATAGCGGTTGGCCGTCAAGGGTGTAGGTTCGGCCGTCAGCACCGTTCCCCAGGCTTATAAATACAGACTTGGCGGAGCTGATTGGGAGAACTTCTGCAGACCATGTGGACAGGCGGCTGAGATCTGGCTGAAGTAGGTCGCAGTCAGTGGGAGAGTCAATTTCTCTCCAAATCTTCATGTCGTCCGCAAACAAGGCACACGGCGACCGGAGAAGCTGCGGTAGATCGTTGATGTGGATCAGGAAAAGAGTGGGCCCCAGCACAGTGCCTTGAGGCACGCCACTTGTCGAGGGGTACCAGTCCGTTAGATGGTCGTCGACCTGTACCCTCCACTTTCGTCCAACAAGAAAGTCGCGGATCCACCCGTGCAGTGAGCCAGCGACACCACACATTCTGAGTTTGTGAAGGAGAACCTCATGGCTGACCTTGTCGAACGCTTTACTGAAATCGATGAATATCACATTGACGGACTTCTCTTTGCTTACTGACTTCAACCACTCATGCCTCGTCACAAGCAGGTTGGTAATGCATGAGCGACCTTGCATAAAACCGTGCTGTGCGGGCGTCAGGACCTCATTTGACTGTAGCAACTGCAGCATTCCCTTCTTCACGAATTTTTCAGCAACCTTTGCCAAAATAGGTGTCAGACAAATTGGCCTGTAGTTGTCTACTTTGCTACGGTTGCCGCCTTTCGGAATAGGTTTCATCACCGAACATTTCCAGTCAACCGGCAACGAAATTTCGGACAGCTACCTGTTGAAAAGGTCAGTCACGACAGGAGAGAGGATGGTCGAAAGTGACTTGAGAACCAGTAGGGGAAGCCCATCTGGTCCGGCAGGTTTGGTGCCGTCAAGGTTGGCGAGTAGTTGACCTACCTCTTCAACGCCGCAATGCAGACTATCGAGTTCGGTAAAAGCGGTACACCTCGAACTCGGAACAGACACCTGGTTATTCGCAAACACAGAAGCGAAATGCGCCGCCAGCGCGGACGCACACTCAGTGCTGGAGGTTAGGGGCTGTCCATCCCGGCCATCCAGCACTGGCACATCACCTGAAGGCTTCAGGCGTCGCTTCACGTATGCAAAGATTCTCTTTGGGGCGGGGGGGGTGTTCGCGGCTACTGCGAGTTGCGCTTCGAAATGTCGGCGTTTATTCTATTTTGCACTGTTGCAGAGGTTCCGCTGACGTTTATACCCGTCGTAATCATTGGCAGAGCCAGAGAGGATGAATTTGTCCTACACTGGGAACACAAAGATGTCAATCTCTCTTTTAGAAATGTCCAACAATCTTCCACAGGTGCAGCTTGTGACAGAGACCAATCCAATTGGCTTGCGGTTCGAGCTAGACCATCGAAGTCCGTTTTCCAGTAGTTGGGAGCTGGTTCCAGCGGACGTGAATACGGCAAAGATAATTCCATATCAGCTATGAGCACTGAATAGGCGCTTGTAGCCAGGGGCTCCAGGATCCTAACGTCACGCACTCGTTGTTCGTAGCTCGTTAACATCAGGTCGAGACAGGACGGGGTTGAATGTGTCGTTATGCGTGTTGGCTGGCATATGTGTTGCGATGCACCAGTTTCAAGTACCAAATCCACGAACTTTGCTTCAACCTCATTATGTCCAGGCATCAAATGCACATCAGGCCATCGTATTCGAGGACAGTTAAAATCGCCCATAAGTAGAAAGTGTGGACGACTCATGTGGGTCCGAAGAATGGGCAGCCAATCTAAACAACGACTCAGCGGACTGTGACAAACTGCGCTCACGAGCAGTTCTCCGCGCCTGAGGCAGATGGAGCACCACAGTATCTCACATAAACCATCGTCACTTCTGTAGGTACTCACAAGTCTCCCACGCAAGGAAGACCGGATGTAAAATAAGACACCACCGTGGGCATTCTTTAGTCTATCGCATCGGTAGCACGAGTAACCGTTGAGTTCAAGTTCTTGGGTGTATAACTCTACATGCAGCCATGTTTCTGCGAGTCCCACTACGTCTGGCCGCTCAGACGCAACGAAACAACAAAGCTCATCACGCTTGTTCATAACACTGCAAAGGTTTGTGAAGGCTACTCGCAGGCCGCAGCAGGAGGCGCCGGGCGTGCTTGAAGTGTGAGCAGCCTGTTTATCCTGATTCGCAGATTGTTGGAAACCACCCGAAAAGTTACGATACGAAGATTTGTTTCCCCCTCACCAGCGCGTCTTTTCAGCTCAATGATGGCAGACTTTAGCCGCTCCCTGTCTACTGCGTCTAGGTCTGGACGAACATGGATCTTCAAACCTTTCAGCCTACTTAGACGGGACATGATCAGTCTTGGACTGACTTCGTCCACAAGTGATCCTCATAGGCCGATTTCGTTGATTGCCTTGCTTTCCAAGACGGGTAATTTGCCTCACTTTTACCGAATCCTCACCAGCGTCGAGGACTCTGTCAATTAGACCCTGTAAAAACTCCACATCGTGATCGTAGCGCACTTGGGGTGATCGATCACTGGACACCGGTGCGTGAAAGATCACGAGATTATAACGCCTCTGGCCGGACGAGGTTGACCTTGCAGGGCGAAGTATACTACCAGCCTCACGTGGTTTGACTAACTGTTGACTTACAGAACTTAAACGCCCAACGCCCCTTCGCAATTTCGTTCTTTGTTCTTTCCACTGACCTTCAGCACTCAGACTTTCACCTGCTGGGACATCAGTGTCCGTTGGACACAACAAAGTCAAACAATTTATGCAAGGTGAAACTGGGCTTCTCACAACGGTTGAACTTCGTTCCGGTGAGTTTGCAAGGGTAGAGGAGACTGAGATGAAACCTGAAGGCTCTTCGGGCTAGGTTGTTGGGCCAAACACACGGAGCTGTTCGCAGTGAAACGCTGAGGTCTACACCTCGGCTTTACTCTTCCTGGCTGTACCATATTTCGGCAATTTTCACATATAGTTTGGACGAAATCGTGTTGGATCTCGCGAAGACGATGAAAATGCTCCACTGATAATGCAACACATGAAATGTGGTATTTAACTTGGCACAAAACACATGTGAGGGCATTTGCACGGTATCCGACTAGTTTGGAGCAAGTAGCACAGGATGACTGCTTCGGCATTGTGAATAACCCGAAAACAAGATGGCGGCCAATTGACCGAGAAAATGGCGATAGCAAGATGGCCGAAACCAAGCGATGAAAACACAAGTATTTCTGGTCGAAAATCTCAGAATCGGGAATGAAACTGAATTGTATATAAATTTCCACAAAATACTTCCAATGAACGCGGAAAGCCAACACAAAGTGATCTTGTCAACACAGCCAAAAATATAACCGACCGGAGGCCGCTATCCGCAGAGAACCTATCTTATGAGATAATAATGAGTTCAGCGATAAACATGAGCAGCTATAAAGTGGGGAGTCATGCGCTGCGAGGACAGAGAATTCATGCAGCGGCGTTTAGACCAGACAACTGTCGGGAAGTCAGAACCATGAGTAAGGAGTAAAGGCAAAAAAGAACGCCTTACTTAATGTGGGCAGTCCATTTAAACACATCAAAATCACAAAGGAAACCACTGAACTAAAGCAACGTCACAAGCCACAAGTTATGTGCTGCATCATGCGGATGATGAAGGTGCCGGCCCGTGGCCTTAGAAATTACAAGCCTGCTTTGCAATTCTGAGGTCGCGGGTTCGAGCGTGTGTGGGGTATGGGCGACCCTCGCAATACCCATAGCTCACGCGCGATTAGGGGTGAGTGGACAGTAGCGAAGCATCGGTACTGAGTACTGCCGTACTGCTGATGGCTTTTAATGAGAATAAACGCAACGGATTCTACTGCAGCGGGCTACCGTAGATCCACAAGGGTGGCACGCTACTTCAGCCCCTTCGACAATGTTATGGGTTCGTTAGACGTGTAGCCGCGGTTTGTCAAAGTCCCGCTAAAGTAAAGTATTGCCTGTGTTGGTTATCGAAACATTCAGGTCCACCTCTACTAATGTCGTTTTGCCGTTACACGCTGAGGATATCGTCTTCCGTTTCGGTTAGATGGAGAGGGAATGCGAAGCCCGTTGGGCCTGGTACCGTCGGTTCTTTCGTGTGAGTGAGTGAGACAGTGTTGAGTGTAGAGAAATCTCCTATGATATTACAAGCGGTATGATAATGGTATTTGGAAGTTTCGTCCATCAGAAGAGTAGATCGTCAATCTGTTGATCAAGAATGCGGTAATCCTCCACCTAAAGGGCGCAATCATTTGTACGGAGAAAATGAGCCTTTTCAGATATCTACTTGCTGAAAAGCCACTTAACATAGGCAATATCTGTATTTCAAATGCTTCGTTCAAATGTGAGGAGAATATGCAAAACCGGTAGATTGACGGAAGAAGTGCAATTATCGACAAATACGATGTAGGAAAAGTACTATCTGAAATGTACAGAGAGACTGTCGGGTCCTCACAATAGCTAAAAAAGAATACATGGAGCAGCCATCTACCAGCGAAGTTTGCCAACGCAATGACAGCATACTTGCTGTCGTTCGGATGACATATTTCGTTGTTGAAACCGTCACTATTAATCGGACAAGTACACTGAGTGTTTTCCCAATGTAGAGCCGACAGCCCATAGGCGCCAATGCATGTTGCCTTCGCCAGATTTCACGTGGTCGCTCAGCAAGTTACTTCAATAGGACTAAGAAGTCCATGACATTTTGAGTAAAACGATGTGTAACAAAACAGTTCCAGTGGTAAACTATCTGGTCCTTCGTTCCGCACTCATGTGCTCATGCGAGGCAACCACACTAGCAACCTTACATACACTGGACTCAAGCAGTTTTCAAAGCTAACATTCGGTCCAGATTTCCGCTGAGGCGGTCGGGATGTGATGGTTCAAGCCTAAACTACGTTTGAAGCAACAGTGGTCTATCACCTTGGGGCGGCTTTGAACATAAAGGCATGATGTCTACATCGTCGGCTACTCCATCTTATGGATATACGCTTTTCTGTTATACTTTTCGGTAATGCATTCACACAATGGGCGTCTCCCTTCAGTGCAAGTTTAATCAATTCGCCAAACGTTTGATGGTGAAGACTGCAAGCAAAGTCAGCGGATTTGGTGTACGCGACACAGGATCAACGTCACAGTTGCGCACAAAAGAGGCCTTCTATTACGGAGAAGGGATAATGAAAGTAAACTATCCGACATGGTCTATAACGAGTCTGAAGGAACTAATGCCAACGCGCGACGAAAGGTATCGGGAAAAGCTGTGATTATGCAACAAAGAACTGTCTAGGAAAATATGTAACAGGAAGACAAAACAATTCCCATTTACAGGCATGGCGTGAGTTATGCACCAACGGTATTGCTCGCTTTGGTGGCTAAACTTTGGTATAAAAAACTATCTGGTACAGAGGAGAATTCGATGGGAACATTCTCGTCCCTTGATTGCAAACACTCGCCAAAATGCCAAACAAGGAAAAACTGTGGAATAGCGGTCGTGAAATCGTAATCGAATATATACATGTAACCCCTCACATGTGACGAATGTTAATTATCAGTTAGGAACGACTGCCGGAAGTTGGAGACATGTGATACTAGTGCAAATAAAGTAGATTGTGAAAAATGTTAAGATCAAAGTAAAAGGTGACGATTAAGATGTGATGGAGTTAAAATGAATCCTATGGTGAGATCTTAAGAGTTGGGGGTCACGTTGGTGCCAACACACACACAAACACACACACAAGTACTCATTAATTAAGGGTCTTGAAAACGAGCCAACCTCGCTCGGTTGTATAAATGCGGTACATGCAGTTCGAGGGAAAGTGAGTGCAAACGGACACAAGAAGAAACCAGAAATTAACCGTCTCCCACTAAGAGCGTAAGAAACTGTGTGATGAATACGATACGGTTCTACTGCAGCCGTGAGCATAACCATAATGGCGTGGGCGAGTGGCTGAGCTTCAGTCAGGCACTAGAATGTCCGTAAACTAAGCAGCAATATTCGATCAAATTCTGAGACGTTCGAGGGAGGACGGCGCTTGTGACAAGAGAGAGGAGAAAGGGAACAAAATAGGAGGATAAGCGGAGAAAGTTACCTGCATGTTTGGTTTGAGTAACTTGTATCGAATCCGGTAAATAATGGTAATCATTAAATCCAAGTCATGTGGAGAAAGGCCTCCAAGGCGGCAGTTCGCAGTCAACAGAGCCAGTAAACCGACGCTAAACAAATGCACTTTTGGATTCTGAAACGATGAACAAAATAGTGACTGTGAGGAAAACGTAGTTAAATTGTGATTTTCCGGTGCAATCATTTGTAGACTTAAGGTGAAGGAAGTCAGATGTACAGCGATATGCAAACATTGGGCATAATGTGCGGTAGTGGCATAGCTTTGAAGTAGCATAGAAACCATGACAGTTACAAATATGACCAAATAGACGACCTCATTATTGATCGACAAAGCACGCGAAGTAATCGAGTTAGTAAGCAAAAACAAGTGGAATAAGTGAAAACCAATGAAGCATAAAACAATAATAAAATTCCTTAAAGGGTCCCGGTAGACTGCACTCAGGCGAATGGACTGTTAGTGGTCTACAGCACAGCTGCAAGAGAAACGTACCGTGAGCCAATTCTCCAAACGGGATGCTACCAATCCTCTGACTTCCGGGAGGCCAACTGCCATTGCGACAGTGCGAAGCAGACTCCGTAACTGAGTCAATTCATTAGAGCCTAATGTAGCCCCAGCGGCTATAGCTGCACCAGGAGCACCGGCAGCTGCGCTCATCAACGCAGACCCACCAGTGGACGGAGCGGTGGTCACTGCGGGTGTTGAAGAGGGCTGTTGATTTCCGATAGGTCCTCTGCGTCCAAGGGCTTCTCGAAGTGTATTCACAATAACCACTTCAATTGCCTGACGACAGAACTCGAAACGAGGAGCAACACAAGTGGCTAGGTCTGTCCCATGAATGAGCTGGAACAGGAAGAAGTTAGGAACATGTTACTGTCCGCTTTCCAAGGACAGGATGAATGGGTGACACTGTATGGTAGTCACCAAAACGAAAAACGGATGAATACAATGTGAAAAATGGGATGAGTTGCGGTCGACGTGCATATAAGAGATAACCGAGGGTAGAAGTATATACCCTGAAGGAAATAACGGATCGCATCGGAAAGAAACAACAACCTAGTAGAGAAGTATTGGGTGCAGTTCGATCGCGTAACACTGCACCTAATGGTGGATTTCTCGTACTCGTTTGAACGCACAATGTGTGTACCAAAACGATAAGCGCTGCTCGGCAAAAATTGGCGACTTCGGAGTAGATGTTTATTACGCTAACATAAGAAGATCCCACAGGTTCAAATCGCAGTCCTGCTATCCTTGCCTGATGAGTGCCAATGAGCACGAAACCGGTCGTGGAGTGCAGTGTCGCGAAAGGGCAACACCAAAAAGTAAGCGGTGCTACAGATTCGGTTCCGAATTGATCAGCTTCCAAATGACTTATCCAATAATTCTGTGCCCTAACACAGCACATTTTTAGCAAAATGGTGAGAACATGTGAAACCACAATCGACCAGTAATAAAACACCACATGCGTCTCCCAGTGATTGTCGACAAACCTTGGCAATTGATGGTGGCTGCGACTGCAGAACAGTGGAAACAGCTTCGGTGATCTCATCTGACTTCGTGGTTGTAATGTCATTCTTGCCTGTTGAGGCGCCGGAGCAAAGACCGAGGACGATTTGAACCGCATTGGTTGCTCCACTTTGGACAGAAGAGCCAGCAGCACCTGAAGCGCAGGGCAGCATTCCACCGACGGGAGTAGAAATGAGAGAGAATAATCCTCGAGGATCACCGAAGGATTTTGGAAATGCAGTCTCCACATTGAGCACGAACAACCGGCACTCGTCCTGGTCAACCCATATTCGATCGGACAAACTGTCTTCTAGGTAGGCCTGTTGAAGCAGAAACGATGGCCAGATAAACTTTCCTTTATCAACAATCAAGTAAACGTTGTGTGCACCTATCTGCTGGTTCAATAAAGGAATTAATGTGTGGGAAACTCGTAAAAGTAGTCCTAGAGAGCATATGAGATTAAACATGTAAGTATCGCAGCGTAGTAAGCACAGGAGGGCTGCATGATGGACATTAACGAAAGGGATGGTGAAAGTTTGTAGCACACTTGGCATCCGAAAAAGTTGATGGTGATATCAACAGAAGCTGTTCCCAAGGCGACCGCAACCTGCAGAGCCATCGTTAGAAAGCAAAGATGAGTAAGTCGAATAAAATTTAAATGAAAAACCGTTCACATTGTCTCACCTGAGTAAGCAACCAATAGGTCGATGAGCAAATGACAGGTACGCTGCTTTGCGGCAAACTAGCCATTAAGTTTCTGCGCACTAGCCCGGCAAATATGCCAAACGTCAACATGATTTTAGACTTCCCCTACTTAAGGCAGACTGAGTATGATTATAAAGCGTACTCTTCACTAGAAAAGAGCAGTAGTAGACTAGAGGAAGAAAAGTGCCCAATATGATGGATAAATTAGCAAATTCAACGAACACGCTATGTCTATGGTAAACAAGTAACGTAATTGTTGCGGGCCCGTCAAGTATTCCAGCAAAAACGAGCCGGAAACCCCGACAGAATGGCTGTGGAAAGCGAGGTCCAGTTCCTCCCCACAACGCAGCAGCGTTCAGCCACTCCGAGACGCGGCCCAACTGCGCACCTTTTGATAACGGTTTTTTACAAACTATCTCCTCGTCGTGGTAGAAAATTTCCCAAACTTAATGACCCATAGCATTGGCTGTGATCGCCGTTTGTTGGTCGTGAAAGAGCCTTCAAAGGACCACTTGCCTTTTTTCTCTTCGCTTCAGTTGCGAGTCGGCCGGTCACGTGATTTTGTGTGCGCCGTTGGCCGGGCAGCCTTCGCATCTAAGTCACTAGCGCGCGTCTACGCAGCCCCCTCTTGTGTGCGTCCAATAAGAGGGCTCAGCGTCTACCCAAATATGTGCGGCTAGGATCGTTCTCACGCTCGCTCGATTTCCGTCTCACCAGCGCGTACCCCGGGCTAAGCTAACGCCATCAGGCCAACGCAAATCCGATCGATTGGCCAGCGTTCCAATTCGTTACCGTAGGTGTACTCCAATCCTGCCAGTGACAATCTTATTAGGCGTCTCTCAATTACAACAGTAATGAAAGGAAGAAACTTCACATTGATAATGTTCAAGAAATCACTGATGATTTAGGTATCTAAATGATAGTTACACATTAAGATGCGAGGGACAGCACATACAGTCGTAACGTGAAAAACTCCCAACTTCCCCCGAGGATTCAAAAAGCACATCATTTATGACAGCGTCACAGAGATTTCGATTCTCAGTCTGATCAACATAAATCACAGACGAAGATGAAAACGAATGATGTGAAAACAGACAAAGATATCTAGCTGACCTACAAGTTGGAACTTTGTTGACACTGTCGATTGGCATTATGATGCGATTCATTAGGAGAAAAACGGAAGGAATATGTGCTAGAGGTGTCTCAGGCCCGGACACAATAAATGAAAACGAGACAGTAACGACCGTATGAAAACTGGCAACAGATAAGCCGCTTTGCCGTACAGTTGCTCGCAGTGTAAGACCGAATGAGTAGGAATAACGAAGAAAGACATTACAAATTACTTTAAGTAGATTGGAAGGCCACTTTGATTGGTTTTCCAGGGCTAGGTAGATTAAATTTGCCACAAGCACCTAAAAACAAAACGGCAATGCAATAGTGAGCAAATTATGAAGTGGCAATGCCAAACGAAAATGAGTAACTCAATACGGAAGAAGGCCGACTGATGCAGAAGCGTTGGGTTAATCAAAACAAGACTACTGCTGCTTTTTAGATGAAGGGGTAGGCAAAACGTAGCTGGTCACTTTGTGGAATGAAGAAACGAACACTAAATTTCTGGATGCTAATGCATGAAGCGGCTGAACAAACTACAGTCCAACCTGCAATGGCGGCCACTTGTCTATGGCGACCAGCCAAAAGCATCCCCAACGATTTCTCCTATGGGTAGTATGTCTATGCATGAACCTGTTCATGGCGACTACCTGTCCAAGGCGACCACTTTCGTCGATCCCTTGAGTGGTCGTCGCCCTAGACAGGTTTGACTGTACCATTCGAGTAGTGGTACCGACGAATTGAAAGTACAAGAAGTACCAGATACTAGAGCAACTAAGATTAGGCATCAGTGGAAAAGTGAACTATACCAAACAACTCACGTGTAGTCCGCGAGCACGAGCGGTGATGGTGCTTACAGCAGCCGGGGGCAAAGAAATACCAAGATCACGAGGACTTAGAGACAATAAGGAAACCAGCTGATCCAACACAGAAACCCGAGCAAACAGGGTTGGATGAGACCGGGCCAAAAGCAACAATCCGATAGAGAAGCCAGTAAGTAATCTCGAACCTGACGAAGCTAAAACACCGCGGAATCCGGAGGAAGAGGAGGATGAAGCTGGTCTGGAGAAAGCGGAACTGCCAGTTACGCGCAGTTGGTAGAGGGCACTTAGAACGAGTGACTCCGCTAGGGCGAGGTTTCCTGAGTTCAATGCAGACTCCGTACGGCTCACCAATTCACCAGCTTCAACTAGACCAAAGTAGAAAAAACATGGTTAGGATGTTGGCATGGAACAGAAAACGGTGATATATGTGATTCCACTCACCGTCCACAGGTAGATCACTTTTGGATTTCTTTACAGCGGTTGGACTTGACGCGGAAGGAGATGGAGCACAGCGCTTTGTTTTCGTGCCTTAAAAGTTTACTGAGATGAGTGCATAACTTACCTAAAGAGATCAACGTGCCCGCTGGTGCAGTCACTAAAAGTGAGAACGCAACCGAAGGTATGAAATTAAACTGACATCGATCAAAGAGCAGACGAGGTCAATAATTGTGAACGTAATGCGCTAAGTTGGTGTAAAGGTCGGTGTGGCACTTCTAGGATGAAAAATCCAAAGAAAGTAGGAGATTAACTCGGCGGAATACCTAAGGCACTGTAAAACGGGATGCACTTTGCTGGTCAACGTAATTAAGAGCATTCCGTCGAAAATTGAGCGCTAGTGAGACAAGTACTCTGTGTGGAACTATGGAATTGCTATTGAGCGAATGGTCAACACTGGGAGACAGATTAGTTTTTCCCTCAGAGCGCTTTACAGAGACAAGCGAAGAAAGCCAATCGTATTAGCGAGGAAAAATAAAACGACCCAGTTTGGTCGATCGCCGAATGTTCATCTGAAAAATAGTTCTTGATTTGTGCACCAGTAAATCGAGTTTTGGAAGCAGATGCATGGTGTGACATGAGAAACGGAAGTAATAACCCGATTAGCAACAGTAAGTGTGGATCATGCTACCCACAGACATGGCTGCACAGTAGAAACAAACGCTTTTAAATTAACCATCGTCAGCGACACAAACATTAACAGCCCCTTTGGACCCCAGCAGTAATACATCACGTGTCTTTGAGAATACAAAAAGGATAACTATTAGATTTTACACTGTTCGCCTAGGGTGCCCACTTCAATTCGAGACAAAAACTGAATCTGTGAACCTCGCACGATTCCATGCGAGGTCGAAGACACTAAAGGCAGGTGGTACGCCAATGATGGGATTGAATAAGAAGACGATGGGCATAATTATTGGGAGCAACTAAGTAATAGTAGCAATGAGGCTGAACCTTAACGTGGTGCGATGGTTTGCGTGCCTCTGCGATCCACTGAGTCATACTAAGCGGTGCTATTTTTGCACCCTCAAAGTCACTCATACCAGATTGGTCAATAGTTAGAGGCCAGACAAACTCAGCCTCTTGGTCGTCCAGGTTGGGGGTTGGAATGAGGGTGGCTCCTTGTTCCTTAAAACGGACTCCTTGGAGTCCACTGCCGAACCCGCTGCCTTACGGTCACCTTTTTGAACCAAAGGCTTTGGTTGGAAAATCCTAATCGTTCTCCTGTCTAGGCCTGGGCAACCTGACAGTATCCTGCCCAGCAGTACTATGCATCTTTTCTCAAGCAATCTTATGATGCTTTGGCCACCGCAGACGATAATCAACGGTGCCCTATCTGTTGCATCGGGCAGGGTGGATAGGGGTCTGGACGCTAGTGCTCAAGCCTTCCCGTCTTCTTGTTCCCCGTCTTACGCTTGGTCACTCTTATCGCCCGATTCCAACTTCACTTTTATCTCCCGCCTGGTTTGCAACCCCCAATACTTGGCCTTCCCCACCATGCTTTGGTAGGCGTTTACGTCCAGTTTCAACTCACATGCAAACACAGAGCGTCACTTTTGCCTTATCGACAAGCCCATGTCAAAGTAAGCAGTCGAATCCAGTATATTGGCTTCTATTTGGAGCCCTCAATCCTCCCTCAGATTGGCATGCAACATACGCACATTGTTATAGATCAGTCAACAGGGAGCACTTGCCCGAAGATTAGAGACCCTCTCGATCAATATCTGCTGCCTATCGGAAACCCGCCTACAAGACCCGAGCTCTGTTCTCACTCTGCGATCCCCTTCAGGTGACACTAGCAGTGCTTTCTCATTGCGCCTATCCGGAGACGATGAAGCTTCGAGCACCGGCCGAACCGGTGGTGATATTGATCTGAAACTGCTCTGGTTGACTGGATCCCAATCAGTAACCACATGTGTGCGATTCGACTGGCTGGCTCGTCCAATCACGCGAGGCTAATAGGTGTCTGTTTATCATCGCTGCCTACGCCCCCACAAACTGTAGCGATTAATTGGTAGGAGACGACTTCTATCCTCAAATGAACGAGCTCCTTCGCCACAGAAGAGCACGGACACTGTAGTGCTTGTTAGGGATCTGAACGCTGAAGTTGGGAAATTGTCCACTGATGAGCTACATCTGGGCGGACAACATGGTGTAGGCTCCCGTAATGATAACGGTGAGCGGTTACTTCATTTGTGTGAAGATGCTCGCATATTTCATGCGAGCACTAACTTCGGACACAGTACCCACCGGAAAGTGATATGGCGCCCATCAAGCCTCGAACCAGCTATGGACGCAAATCGATCACATCGCGATCAGTTATCGCTACGGAGGCTGTGTCCAAAACTGTCGCTCGATTTGGAGCACATGTGTGGATACTGATCATGCACTTGTATATGTACCTCTGCAGGTGCGTTTTGGCAGTCGCTGTGAGCGCATAAACACCAGCTAACAGGCGAAGCCAGGTGTTCTGAATGCGTATCGATGTACTCTGGCGCTCACTGAATACGGTTGAAGGTTACTGGTAGCATGTTCACCAGACCTTACTTTAAGGAGGTCTCTTCGCAGTCTCTGGAACTTATTGATGCTCGCCGGCATATTCCAGCTGGAAACAAACACAACGAGATTCGCAAAGACATCAAAACAAAACTCCATGATAGCCTGAAGAGAGACCGTTAAGCGTGTTGATGTCATCGTGCGTCAGAGATGGAAGTGGTCGCAGCCCATGGTAGCCATCGGAAGTCGTTCTGTCAGATACAGGAAACGGGAAGCATAAAACCTGGTGTTAATGAAACTTTACGTGACGAGAGTGGACGGCCTAGCCACAACCTGTCAAAACGTTTGGAACGTTGAGCTGAGCATTTTTAAAAGCAATTTAATCGGCCGGCATTGTTAGATCCCTCACCGGCCAGTGATCGCCCTGCTCCCTCAGCTATCCCTTTGGATCCGACCTCGCTCAGAAGTCGAAAGTGCGATCGAACTGGTGAAGTTAAATAAAGCCGTGGGACCAGATGATCTTCATCCAGCCCTCTTCAAATTCGGGTGCCCTGCTATTGTTGATGACTTACAAGAATTACTAATGAAAGTGTGGGAGCAGATAACTGTCCCAACCGACTGGAGCTGCTTCGTTATTGTCCCGATCTTTAAGGGAGGCTCGCGTTCGGAATGCGGCAACCCTAGAGGTTTAGCCTCTCATATTATTTACCAGTTCACTTGCAGCTGCGGTGAAGTCTATACAAGAAGGACCGACCGGCGACTGGCCCAAAGGGTGGCTGAGCATTTCCCAGTGGTTGAAGAAATCCACGGTACAACATGAAGTGAAGGATCAACTGGAAAGCCGGAACCCCGCCACCTCTAGTACAAAACACCTCGTGATGACAGGCCATCAGGTGGATTCATCAAAGCCCTGTAAAGTGCTATTGATGGACCGCAACTCGAAAATGCAGGTAATCAATGAGGCATTACTGATTGCGGCAAACCGGCCGGTACTGTGTGCGCAAAAGCAACTGAGGCAGCCTATCAAGTTGCCTTGGTCTTGACTGCTCAACTTCGATTTATCCGTATAATTTCGTTCCACGTGCACATACGTTTATTTTTTACTCGAACGCATTACGTTTGCGATTGATGAGAGTAATCGAAATGTTGACATGTCGCAAAATTTGGCTTCTGTCTGCGTTGACCAAATGGGCAGAGGGGACACAATGTTTCACGTTTCACAATAGAGAAATCAGTTTGATCTCCATCGCCTCCAAATTGCTTGCCTCTGTCATCCTTCACAGACTGATTCGCGCTCGTGAAAGCCAGATTCGTGATGAGCAAGCCGGGTTTCGTCGTGGTCGGGGATGCATCGATCACATATTCACAGTACGTCAGTTGTTGGAGCACCGTCACATATATTGGCGGTCCACCTTTGTCGTGTTCCTCGACATCAAAGGTGCCTTCCATTCAGTGGATAGACGTGCCCTTGGGGACTGTCTGCTAAAGAAAGGTGTGTCCGAGAAGTATGGAAATATTATGCGAGCGCTTTACGCGCGTAGTTCGGGCAGAGTGAGAGCTTACGGCAAGCTGTCACCTTCCTTTCAATATCTCCAATGGTGTAAGACAAGGATACCCGCTGTCACCTTTCCTCTTCAACTTCGCTATTGTTGAAGTCATGGAAATCGCGTTCACAGGACATGAATTAGAAATTGTGGAGCTGATCCCAGGTGAAGGACTTCTTGACTTGGAGTATGCGAACGATAATGCCCTAATCTGTGACAGCTCACAAACGTGCCAAGCGGCACTGGCTGTCATCCGTTTCGCGCTATGCTTTGCACCCTCGAATTGCAAAGGTTTCCTTCAAGATTGACAGGCACCGCCACCTGCGCTGACCCTTGGTGCGGATCCGCTAGAAGTCGTTCAAAAGCTCAACCACCTAGGTAATTGCAGCAGCGCCGTTGGAATTGTAGACGAGGTCACTAACCGTATAGCAAAAGCTCGAGATGCTTTTGCTAACCTTCACCACCTATGGCGCAGGTGCGACATCACTCTCACCCTGAAGGGTAGGGTGCAAAATGCAGCGGTATGTTTGACCCTACTGTAACGGTTGCGAAAGCTGGCCCCTTAGATCAGCCAACATTAAGAGATTAGTTGCGTTCGATCAACGGTGCCTGCACAGTATGGCTCACATCTGGTGGGAACACTGTGTTAGCAATGAGCATGTTCGACGCCTTGTTTATGGCGCAGGAAGAAGAAACTAACCACTCAGCACCGTTATTTCATGCCCTAGGCTCCGATGGCTCGGCCACGTGTAGCGAATACCAGCCCACCGACTCACAGGACGTGCGTTGTTTGCGCGCCGCGTGTGGATGGAGGAAGAGGAGAGCTGGTCAAGCGATGACTTAGTCGAGAAGGATGAACGCCCTTACCTCCAAGATGGCCTCGGTTGGAGCCTTGTCTCTCTGGTTGGGGTCCGAAAGACGATGAACACGTCTGATTGGATACACTTGTTGACATGGCTAAGAGCAGACCTCAACGGCGTTTGTGTTGTGAGTTTCTTTGTCTCTCCCCCATCTCTTTCAGCCTTCCCCTCTAACCAAGATCGCAGTTATTAGGCATAATATGACTTCTTTGCGGCACAACAGTCGGCTGTTAGCTCTCCGGAACGATGTCCATCCGTTACCGGTGACTCAGCCGCGGGCCTCAGTTTCACTTTTTGTTTTTCCTTTATATTGCGGTACCATAGCTAAGGTGTTTTCCACCTGCATTTAGCGTGTATAATGATAATGAATGAGCAGTCTAAGATTAAACGAAATGGAAGCAGTTTAACTCATTGCAGTTGATAAAGTAATTTTGCAAGTCAGATCAGATCATGCCAAGAATGTGTTGTATGTACCAATGAAGGGCGAGTATTCGCAGTAACGAACGTTGCACTGATAGGGGTAACTAGTAAAGATAACAAAAGATTGTTGTAAGACAGTAGGCCCTGGAAATTGACAATTAATAGTAATGAAATCATCTGTGAACCAGTTCTTGGTCGAATAGGTATTGGTCTGTCAAGAAATGCAGCTTGCTCAAATGACAAATGAAACAGCTGCAATAATGGGATAAACAGACGAGGTTAAGTGTACACAGCTAAGTCATTGGAATTATGATCAATAGCACAGACCATGTAATCTGCTACAACATAGCGTAACCCATTCCCCATCCCCATGATCCTTCCTAACAGATATGGGAGGTGAATAGCCAGCATAAAAAAATCGATAACTACTTGTTACGACAGTTGGGTGGCTGATAAATCGACATAAGTAAACCGCTGTCCTGGGAGCTAAGCTTGCCTTTGTTGCGCCAGAAACGGCTGTGGAAATGGAGCATAAAGCGTGGCATATTAGAGCAGCTGTTGCTGCTATAATTCTCTGTGACTAGTGGCGTAAAGCACTGTTTCGAAAGAGACCTGGTCTGACGAAACCTTTGTATTAACAGCGAAATACAACCTAAATACCGAGTGCTGCAGAATTCAGTTATTCCGGGAGAGACTTTGATTCAGCAACATCATTCAGCGAAAAGTATAGCTCATTTGACTAAACGTCTTATTATATATACTGCTCGTTCACTTCTATAGACAACGATCTTTATTGGCAAGTTAGGTTCCTCCTTTGACGCGAGTAAACAAATGATGAGGAACTCACCATAACGCAAACGAACATCATGGTCTAATGATTCAATTCATTATGGTCGCCTCCCAATGGCCGTCCGACTCGCTGTTTTGGTAGCATATTACCATCGCACAGGAATGAAGAAAAACCTCCCGAATCTAAGAGTAACAGACCGTTATTCTACGATAGATGGAATCTGCACCGATAGTGGGCATCTAAAAGGGGAACCTGCTGCCCAATGTTTCACGTATGTGTGAAGGCTGTTTGACAGAATGTGGCTGGGAAGAATCTTGTTAGAAGGAGTTGACTGAAGCCAGAAGATGGCGATGCCGATGTAGGAGATATGATCCAATTCGCAATGAAAAGCGTTGTCCGTTATGCACATAGTAGAGGGACAATATGTGCTGCAACGTCCGAAGTCGTAGATTTCACTTTAGGCAAGACACATCACCAAATGGGAGTGTTATTGAAGGAGCTCACGACATGGCTAAGAGAAAGTGCTGAGGGAGGTACCTGTGAGTCAATGACTTAGGAAGAGAAACCGACACTGAAGATGTCAATAAGGCCAACGTGTGGTGTGAACATATGAGCTGCCGTGATAACAACAACACATAAGAAATAAAATTTGAACTATTACTTATGAGTAGAAGGATTTTAGCGAGTATGTTTGTTCGTCGCAGTCAGCTGACAATTCGGATAAGTCAGCTACCTATCCGGAAAAGCACCAGACGGCCGTTTCGCCCTATTGGGGCTCGTCAGTGGTGCGCATCCATCGGTCCTCTAGTGAGGATCGAACCCATGACTGCTAGTGGCTTGTGCCAACTAGCCCGCTGCTTATGCAACTGAGCCATGGAGGACGGTAGCCGACCACCACGAATTGTCAGTTAACTGCGATATAGCCCGACCCATCCCCCACTGTCACGCAGGCACCTGCCATGCAGATGACAGCGGTTGGCCTTCCGGCGTCAGGACTTCCCGTTTACGGCAGCTATGAATCGACATATCAGCGGGCCAGTTGGCACAAGCCACTAGCAGTCATGGGTTCGATCCTCATTAGAGGACCGAAGGACGCGCACCACTGACGAGCCCCAATAGGGCGAAACGGCCGTCTGGTGCTTTTCCGGATAGGTAGTTGACTTATCTGCATTGTCGGTTGACTGCGACGAACAAAAATACAATTTGAACTGTTATGAAGAAGAAGAAGTGGAGGTGCAAGCAGACCTGAAGACAACCATGAGAGGGTACGCATTGTGCGTGATGGTGTTGTGTGATGCGGGGCGGCGCGGCGCGGCAATGGTACATGGAAGATACAAGCTCAGTAGAATTCCAAGCTACCATAGTTAATAGACAGATCCACCAAAGAAGTCGTTAAAATAAGGAAGATTAATGCACGACAAAGAGCCAACCGACGGGCAACAAGAGTATCGATGAAAGACGTAGTCGCTATACAAAAAATAGCACATCCATGAGGTCTGAGCCATTGGGAATCTGATAAAGTAATTACATCAATTTGTAAATTGGACAAGCCAATAAAGGCTGTTTTCTTTAAGTCGCTCCCAAAGCAACGTGAAAGATGACGAACAACAAAAGTGACTTGTCCTAAAAAGTATAGCGCGGTCGGATGCAGTGATGTGATTAAAGAATATAAAAGATATTTGATACTGATGGTTAAACAACGTAGGTGGCTCAAGCACCTAGTGCGTGGGTGGACAACCAAAGGAGTTGTCTAACCAATGTATCGGCTGGGGGCAGAACCACGGTGCTTTCTCCGAAACCGCCGGAAGCTCAACATTTCCAAGCCTACTAAAAGATTAATAGTTTAATAGTCGTGTGAGCAGCGAGAAGACGACTTTATGTTTAAACGGTTGAAACAGATTTTTAGTGGAGGAAATACAGCAAGCACCATTAACTGAACTTTGTAGCCAATGGTTGGAAGTTGTAAGCGGAGGATTCAGTCAAAAAAGTAGCAAACATTCCGTTGCCAGTGTCCCAAGCAAAGTGCCAAGACAAAGGTGGAAAGTAAAAAGAGTAAAACACAAACGACATGCATTGGGAGGGTAGCGAAATCAGCAGAAAATGGACTCAGTTAGAGATCTGACATTAGAAAACAACGCTTTCAGGAGCAGTCTGTAAATCCACTGTAATTATACCGAAAACTCTTATCACGAAGTGATGGAAGATCGAAATATGAAATCCCAAAAAATACCTTTTTTGTTTCCGCGCATGGCTGGGAAAGGTAAAAGGAATGGGCGCCTCGTAGATTATTTCATCCTGAAAGGAACGAAAAAAGCAAAGGCATTAGTGGTACGCCAGTACACAGTATCGACGCTTCGCTGCCGCGCAAGTACCACCGGTCGCACGCGGGCTAAGGGACTGCGAGGGTCGCCCTGCCTTTACGCAGACTCGGATCCGGATCATCAGCTTACAAGACAAGCTCAATGCCTTTAGGCTACTGACCATGTCACATGTTTGAAAGAGGAGCCCATACTATGCAGCTGCAGTAGAAATAGGTTATTAGGAATGCACAGAGGGAGCTGAACACATTAATAGAATAAATATGACGATACCATCTGAAAAGTTATACCGAAGTAGATTAATAAAGTATCTACAGGGTTGACAAAATGGTGAATTGGGGCAAGACGGTTTCGCTGCACCATTGTTTAATATAAACCTTAGCTAGAGGTGGAAAATTCCCCAGCTACTATCACGCTGCATACAGCGGAGTGGATAAGCGAAAACATGTGGACGTTCTTTGCCTCCACAGTCATGCTTACAGTCATAAACCCCATTATAACTCCCAGTAAATCAGTACACCCAAGTATTTGCGCCGTGAAACCGTACGCCCCCACACAAAGTGGAATGTGGCATATGCGAACCACCGCACTGGTCGCCATGGAATTCATTCGTTAACACGGGGATGATGTCGTGTCCAACATTATTATCGACAAAAGTTTATCAGCTATTTCAACTGATGATAGGCTGTCCTGCAATCACAATGACCTAAGGAATGAAGAATAATATGTGGAAGAAAAGGGGGACCTAACGTGGAAACTTAATGCCTTAAGCAAGCATTCAGGGTTTAGGTGCCTTCATCTTGACAACAACATACGGTTCCAAACATCTGCCTATCGTGTAAAGAGAAGGCAGCGTCGGCGAGACAGTTTCCTTGTGGTACTCACCGCCACGTGTCATCATCAACCAAAAGACAACAGCGTTAAACACACTTTAAACAGGCAGTCCGACTACGAAACGACAACAGACGCGTCACTGATAACGACTGCGTCATGTTCTGTAAAGTGTTGAGCGAAACAATGCGAGTCGCGTAGAGTACAGGCTGGGAGATGAAATGGACCAACAGAAGCTAGTGTTCTCGTCAGTGATTTCACTTTCAGATGGTAAATCACCTTTGACCAAGTTAAGTGCCTCTGTCGTTCCCCACAGACTCTTGCATCCGTGAAAATCAGATGCAAACTGGGTTTCGTCAAAACCGAGGCTGTATTGACAACATTTTCACATTAGGTTAATAGTGGGACACTGTCATATTTACTGGAGACCCACCGCAATCGTGTTCCGCGACACCAAAGGTGCCTTCAGTTCGGTGGACATTGGGAGTGACTGTCAAGGAAAGGGGTGCCCGATAAAATATAAACGTCATAACAAACTGCGTGGGCGTAAAATCGTCAAGGTACGCCGTCACGGCGCCTCGCTGTCGCGTGACTACCACCCGTCGCACGTGGGCTGAGTATACCGCGAGGAGGCCGCTGACTCGGGCGTAGTTTGGGCAGTGTAAGGGGTAAGGTAAACTGTCGCCGCTCTTCAGTATCTCCAGCGATGTGTGACAAGGCTATCGCTGTAACCTTTCCTTTCCAACTTCATCACTGATGAAGTCATGGAAATCGCGTTCACTGGATACGACCTATAAAGTGTGGCGTTGCTTCCAATTGATCAAGTTCTGGAACCAAAGTAAGCCAACTACATTGCCCCAATCTGTGATAGCTCCTAAACGTGCCAAGCAGCATTGGTTGTCAATAGTTCCGGGCTATGCAAAGCACTTTCGGAATGCAGTTTTTCAAAGATTGGCAGGGACCAATCCCTGCGCTGACACTTAGTGATTATCAGTTAAAAACCATAAATTCAAGCACATAGCTAACTAGTGCTACAAAAAAACGTCGAGGGCATTTGTTAATCTTCGCCACCTGTGCCCTGCAGGGCAGAAGTTATAATACAGGCTTCCATCAAACTCTCCTGTTTGATGGCGAAACTTAGCCCATCCGGTCGACAGACATAAAATGGCTAGTTACATCTGACCATTGCTACCTACGCAGTTTAGCTTAGGTCTGGTGGAAACACCGCGTGAGAAATGAGCATGCTCGGCGTCTCGTATTTGGTGTAGCACTGTTACATCACGCACTGGGCTCCGATGGCTGTTGCATGTACTGCGCATCCCAGCACACCGACTCTGGCGACATGCGTTGTATGTGAGACGAGGATATAGATGAAAGAAGAGCAAAGGAGGTCAAGAGATCGAGCAACACTGGACCTGTATACCGAAGGCGATGATTACTTTAGGACAAACAAGTTGTGTCCTAGCTCGATACCCCTTAAACACTTGGATCTGCTCGATCTCTAGAGCTGTATGACCGCCGCAGAGATATCCCGGCAGAATTAGATAACGAGAGGCGACGCCCTGTCAACTGACAGCTCAAGCAAAACTTGCGCAGGGATTGTAATGCCCAGTGGTTTAAGGGTACTTTGTAAATGGAGACCACTGCCCTCTGGCAGGCTTATCCAACTCATTCGGTCCACTGGCTTTAGGAAGCCTGGTGTCAGTGAGGTCATCTGCGAGGCGGATGGATCTCCGATTATCAACTATCAGAGGCGTTTGGACCGCTGGGCCGAACATTTTCATTCACAATTCAACTGGCCTCCACAGTCTATCAGTGCACGCAGTACACCTTATTGTCTACCGTGGCTCGCCCCAATGCATCCGCCAAGCGAAGCGGAAGCCTGCTTCGAGATTCGACGCCTGAAGCGATTCAAGGCTGTCGATTATGACGGACTTCCTCCATAACTGCTCACATACGGCAGCGTGGCAATCAGCAAGTAGATGATCTCGTTGATCGCAATGAAGAAAAAGTGCTTTCTTCGGAGAAGAATGACGTTTTGGTCCGAGTTTCAAGAAAGTGACCTGGAGACTCCCCCGTTTGTTGTGTAAAGCAATCTAAATATTATGAAGTCATAGTTTTCTTATGTATTAGGGATGTAGGTGATTTGCATGTTCAAATGGTGCACGTTCGGTTTGAGACACACTGACAACATCCGGACTTTTGAAGCTAACTTTGAAAGCGAACGTTGGCTGAAAGCAACCAACGTGCGATGGCTATCGCACTCAGCACCTTACTACATACTCTCAAGTTAGATATCTCTTGGTGCCTTATTTTTAGCCTTAGGACTTAGCAACCTATCAATAAACGTTATCCAGCTTATTTCTATGTATTTTGCCGCACGCATCTGGTAGACTGTTCGAGTCGGAGTTCCTGATATATAGTGCCCGACAGCCACACTATCATCTATGCAAGGAGGTCGCGCCCGTTTAAATTCAAGTTAGTTAGAACTGGATAATCTCTTTATTTTTCATATCGCTGAACCGGCAATTGGTAAGTCAGCTTGAAATGTTGAAAAGACTAAAACAAAGACCGCATTATACCCTGTACAACCAAGCAATAAGCACATTTTCCTGCCCAACACTCCCTGCTAGGCCGGTGCATGTGAAATAGAAAAGAGTGAAGAGAAAGCTAAAAAACAAGTAGAGGAACGTCAACTAAATAATGATAATATCAAGGTGTGAGAAGAACTAGAAAAACAAACGGAAAGATACAAGTCGGTTAGGAGAAAGGAAAGGTTTGGTACTACCATTCAAGAGCATTCAACTGACCCTTAAAACCCTCAACCGTAGACTCCCCAACGACGAGCTCCGGAAGCGAGTTTCAAGGTTCAATAACCCGACACGCCAAGCGAGTTTCCATCCTTACCAGCTCAGAACGAGGTTTATGCACCTTCAACGAGTGACCTCGAAGATTAGACAGCTTAGCTGGACTAAATAGCCAGGATAAATCTGGAGGGATCTTATCCGTTAGCATAGAGTAAGTGACGATCAAATCTCCTCTAATTCTCCGGTAGTGCATGGAGTACATCCCCAGATTAAGCAAATGTTCCGGGTACGTGTCTCCATAAACCCTGCAATAATCGAGTGCCCACTCGTAGCACTCTCTCCAAGTCCATTTTGTCTAGGATAAGACGGACAAGCATGGAGACAATATTACAGGTGGGGTCGGACGAATGACGAAAATAGCTTCACAAACTAATTAACCGTTAGGATTGCGAATGAGCGGTGGATAGACCAGATCATACGAAACCCCTGAAAAGCAGCCTTTTACCAATTGTCGCCAGAATGAACTGCTGATAAATGGAGGACCCCTAAATCAAACTGCTGAGTGACAACAGGGATTGCATCACCGCCAACAACAAATCGGGTAGGAGGATTAGCAGCTCCGATTCGGAGATAAGAACACTTGCCCCTATTCATGGGCATCAACCATAAAGTGGGCCATTCCCAGAGCCTACCCAAGGCACCCTGAATTGCCTCAGGACCCCCCAGGATATCCAAAATATTCCAGAGATTAAGGTAGCCAGCAAACATTAGTGATGACACTCCTAGCTCCCCCGGCAAGTCATTCACATAGATCGCGAACAGCAGTGGCACAAATACCGAGCCATGTGGGATGCCACTAAGGACATATTGCCTAAGCGAAAGGCTATGCCCCACCCGTACGCACTGTTCCCTCCCCACAAGGAGAGCTGACACCTATTTAAGGGCGCGACCAGATATACCGTAAGAGCTCAAATTTAGTGTGAGTCGAAGATGAGGAACAATGTCAAAAAGTTTCGAAAGGTCCACGAATAGCACGTCTACAGCGTGGCCAATGTCTACCGCTCCGACCCAGTTTTCACGAGCTATAAGTAGATTAGTCTGACACGAAAATCTCTTGCGGAATTCATGCTGCGCAACAATGAGAAGGTTGAATCTATTCAGGTGGTTCTCCACTGAACCGCTTATCAGCTTTTCAAACAACTTGACTACTACGCTTGTCAAACTGACAGGCCGGTAGTTCGCGGGCAGAGAGCTGTCACTGCCCTAAAAAATCGGATAGATAATGGCCTCCTTCCATTCCGAAGGTAGGACGCAGCTTTCATGCGATACTGAAAACACGT